AAGAGAAGAGAAGAGAAGAGAAGAGAAGAGAAGAGAAGAGAAGAGAATTCTTTATTGGCCAAGTATGATTGGACACACAAGGAATTTGTCTTGGTGTAAATATTTTCAGTGTACATAAAAGAAAAGATACATTCATGAAGAGTCAAGAATCATAACTTAATGATAGTCATATCATTAATTAATTAATTAATTGAATGCAAGAACAGATAGATTTTGCTGACATCTGGGCTGTAATGGTGGAAAAGACTTGAAACTGCATCATGTTATAGGTAATTGAACCCGAAATTTATGTTGCTAAGTGACATGGTTGTTAACTGAGTTTTGCCTTAATTTAGGACTTTCTTGCGACAGCTGTTCAGTGAATTGCTACAGATGTTCAGTTAGTAACACAATTGTTAAGTGAATCTGGCTTCCCTATTGACTTTGTCAGAGAGTCGCAAAAGGTGATCACATCATCCCAGGACATTGCAACGGTCATAAATAGGAACCAGTTGCCAAATTGTAATCATGTGACCATGGGGGATGCTGCAAGAGTTGTAAGTGTGAAAAAAGGGTCATGTCACCTTTCTCAGGGATGTTATAAGTTTGAAAGCTCACTAAATGGACTGTTGTAAATTGAGTATTTAAAGGGAGAGGATATATAGCCCCAGAGGTGGTATTCAGCAGGTTCTGACCTGTTCTGGAGAACCCCGGTAGCAGAAATTTTGATAATTTGGAGAACCGGCAAATATCACCTCTGACTGGAAATTTTACAGTATCCTTCCCCTGTCATGCCCACCAAGCCATGCCCACAGAACAGATAATAAAAAATTGAATTCCACTACTGTACAGCAGCTAAAATATTTTCAAGCTCTTTTTTATCATTTCCTATTCCATCTGTGCTGGTCCAGAGGTGGTATTCAGCAGGTTCTTTTTTTTTAATTTTTATTGGTTTTTAAGATAAACATAGATGAACAAAACATAAAAACATCAAGGGATCATCCATATATGTTGTAATGTCG